TCTCTTCATATCAGGTGGCCAAAGTATTGGAGCTTCAGCTTCAGTATCAGTCCTTCCAATGAATAATCAGGGTTGATTGCCTTTAAGAGTGACTGTTTTGATCTCCTTGCAGTCCAAGGGACTCTCAAGAGTCTTCTCCAGAACTACAATTTGAAAGCATCAATTCTTAGGGACTCAGCCTTCTTTATGGTCCAACACTCACATCCATACCTGACTACTGGAAAGACCATAGGTTTGACTATATGGACCTTTGTCAGCAAAGTGATGTCTCTGCTTTTTAATACACCATCTAGGTTTGTCATAGCTTTTCTTCCAAGGAGCATCTTTTAATTTTGTGGCTGCAGTCACCTTCCACAATGATTTTGGAGTCCAAGAAAAAATAAAATCAGTCACTGCTTCCATTTTCCCCCTTCTATCTGCCATGAAGTGAAGAGACTGGATGCCATGATCTTAGTTTTTTGAATGTTGAGTTTCAAGCCAGTTTTTTCACTCTCTTCTTTCACCTTCATCAAGAGACTCTTTAGTTCTTCATTTTCGGCCATAAGAGTGGTATCATCTGCATATCTGAGGTTGTTGATATTTCTCCCAGCAATCTTGATTCCAGCTTGTGAGTGAAATGTGGTCTCTGCCAAAAGAACCAGGTGGACAAGGATGCTTGTCCTTCATTCAAGGCTTCAGGTTAAAAAAATATCTCCTCCAAGAACTCAAAATCTGAAACCTGTGCCACATGTGGGTTTGAATTCAAATTTATGCTACACATTCTATGCTGTAGGAATCTCTATGCTGAGAAGTTATTGTAAGAAATATTCCAAAAAAAGAGAAATATTTCAAGGCCATCGATACCAGAAGTCTAGGAGACCTGCAGACCCCTCTGTAAAAACATGTCAATAAACTCGACACATTTCCTCTCTAAAGGGCAAAATTAACAAACAAATAGAGAACTAGAACTTGAGATAATCAGTCTGAAAGCGAGTAGAAATTAAATGTCTTTAAGTTATGAAAGAAGCAATAGAAACCATGATGAAAGAATAAGACACTGTGGAAAAAAGAACAAGGTGATTTTGAAAACATCAAGTTGAAAATTATGAAGTAGAGACTACAGTCACTGAAGTAAGAATTCAGTTAGCAGGACTGAAGAGGATGGAAATGGGGGAGGAAGAGGGGAAGTGACTATTAATGGTGTAAGTTTCTCTTTGAAATGCTGGAATGTTCCACACTTAATTCTTGTGATGGCTTCACAGTTCTGTGGCTATACTAAAGAATATACTAATTAATAAATTAATTTGTAAACCTTAAATGTGTATGTCAATTCTACTTCAATGAAGCAGTTTAAAAAAAAATCTCAGAGGGAAATTCCCTGACAGTTCAGTGCCCCTGGTCAGGGAGCTAAGATACCACAAGCCGCATGGTGTGGCCCAAACAAATTTAAAAAAAAAAGGGAGAGAGGAAGGAGCATGGGAAATAAGCTGCAGTTAAAAGTGGCAATGACTAAAGAACTGTCCCAAATTATAGAGGGCATGAATCCATAGACAGCAGCAGCAAAAATTCCCAGAGTGTAAGACTGAATCCATTCCTCGACATCTTGAAGTGAAATTGTAAAACACAAAAAAACAAGAAGGAACTCATAAAAGCAGTTAGAAACAACAGATTATTTACAAAGGAACATTAAGACTGTCAGAAATCTTACCAGCAACAAATAGCATCCTCAAAGAACCCTGGAAAGTTAATGTCTATGTAGAACATAGAATTCTACAACTACTACTCAAAATGAGGGTGGACATACTTGGCTAAAGAAAGGCCAAGAACGCTTACTCTCATTCTCTTATTCAAAGAACTACCAAAGGAACATCTCTGTGAAAATGAAAACTAACCCAGGAGGAAGGAGGGATGCAGAGAGGAAACGATGAGCAAGTAAATTGCTAAAAATATGGACAAGTCTCTGCATTGACTGTAAACATTGTGTATTTGTGTGTGTGTTGAGGGTAATTAAAAACAGAGTGAATCTAAAATCCTGGACAAAAACAGCACAGAGGTGGGAGTAGAGACTCAGGGATAATTTTGTGGTCTTTGTATTACTCAGGAGAGTAACAGACTTCAAACGGGAAATATGTTTTCTTTTTGTTTGTCTCGCTGAGGCTGCAGACTCTAAGAGTAGGTGTTCTATCTTGTTTCTGTATCCTCATGTGTATAAAGCAGCACCTGACACAAAGAAGTTGCTCACTATGTGTAAATAGAGGGGATTCTTTTGTACCTTTTAAATGAGAAAAATGTTACCTTATTTAAGCATTCTTGAAAACTAATTAGGGTGCACATTTCCCCATTAACTTGGTAATTGAATGTAACTTGTGTCTATGTCCTTTCTGAAATTGGAGTCCTAATATTATATCTTTTAAAATTTACTTTTAAAAGCTGTTTATAAACATCTTCACCTTCTGCTTGTCTTCTCTGCTATGTCTCTCAATTGCCTTTTTAGGGATTTTACACAACTTTTTATGTAATCATCTTTCACCTTTTTAAATTCTTCTATCATTAAGTTTAGAAAGTATTGCTTTTATTGCTTTTTACATGTCTTCTAACTTCAACATGAGTTTCAACATGGAGAACTGTTAAATTCCCTATTAACAAGGAGAATGTATTTAAGACATGTGTGGTCACAGGCTGGTGTTGATATGGCTTGGGAGCTAGAGGCTGGTCTGAATTTAAAAGGACTTCATCTTTCTGGCTTACTTAGCTCTTAAGCCAGAAAGATAAAGACTATTACAGTATACTAACACATATATATGGAATTTAGAAAGATGGTAACGATAACCCTATATGCAAAACAGAAAAAGAGACCCAGATGTATAGAACAGACTTTTGGACTCTGGGAGAAGGCGAGGGTGGGATGTTTCAAGAGAACAGCATCGAAACATGTATATTATCTAGGGTGAAACAGATCACCAGCCCAGGTTGGGTGCATGAGACAAGTGCTCGGGCCTGGTGCACTGGGAAGACCCAGAGGGATCGGGTGGAGAGGGAGGTGGGAGGGGGGACTGGGATGGGGAATACATGTAAATCCATGGCTAATTCATTTCAATGTATGACAAAAACTACTGTAATGATGTAAAGTAATTAGCTTCCAACTAATAAAAATAAATGGAAAAAAAAAATAAAAGGACTTCAGTTTGAATCCAGGAGTATCCGGTGCCTGAACCACATTTATTAGTAGAATTATAAATATCGGAAGCCTTTAAAGGTAATAAATCTTGGGAGTTTTGCTTTTGAAATTCAACATACAAGTTTTCAGCCTACTTAAAAGGCAGAATTAATTAGGAACGAGGTTTTCAACACAAGATGAAGTATTCAACTTTTCACTATTCACAAATGTTACCTTAAAATAGCCATTATAATTTTGTCCATGAGCACTAGTATTAAAGAGGCAGGTTTTTAAAACCGGAATTTGTACCATACACAAAAACCGGACTCAGTGATGCATAGAAAGTGATATAGTAGCCTTCAAAACTCTGGAGACACAATTTGGATGAATGGTCGGCCATTGTTACTGCTGCGCCTGTGAGCACTGTCAGCCTTGCTGAAATGCTGTCAACGCTTTGCAGGACATTTGTGTTGGGAGCTAAGAGCTGTGTTGTCCACTGGCTACATGTGACTATTTAAAAAAAAAAAAATCTTTTTGCTGTGCTGGACCTTAGTTGCAGCATGTGGGATCCAGTTCCTTGACCAGGGATCGACCCTGGGCCCACTGCATTCTGAGTGTCACAGCCACTGGACCACTGGGGAGATTCCGTGAGTATTTACATTTTAAAATTTAAGACTACATTTACAGTGCAGTTCCTCAAGTGCTCAAGGGCTACCGGTAGCAGGCAGATACAGAAGAGTCCTATGTTCCTCTGGACAGCGTTGCCTTGTCTTCCACAATTCTCAGGGGTCTTCTGGGCTGCTTCTCCACCTCCACCCTGTCTCACCAAGCCCTCGCTTCCAACTGTGTTATTTCAAGTATATTCTTGCTCTCCCTGCACTCCTCACTGTCCAGAAAACAGGGGCAGCAGATCACTAAACAACACTTATCCCTTAAGCAGCCCTCGCCCTCGGCAGTGGAAGTCGGTCAGGCGTGCTCTACTCTCCGCGATCCCATGGACTTCAGCCGCCAGGTTCCCCTGTCCATGGAGTTCTCCAGGCAAGGATGCTGGAGTGGAGAGCTGTTCCCTCCTCCAGGGGGTCTTCCCAACCCAGGGATCGAACCCAGGCTTCCCGCATTGCAGGTGGATTCAAAGCCCTCCCTTAGCGTTGTGCACACAAAATTCCAAGACTCCAGCAGATAGAACTGCCTTCATCCTGCTGTCACCACTCAATGTTCTGCCTTTTAGTCCCAAACTGTTCTCCCACTGATGCTGGAAGACACAGGAGAGCCACACGCAGATGCATCACTGACTGTCCAGGGCCTGCACTCTGCTTAGGCCCATCTGTTTCACCCAGGGGTAGTTTCACCCAACAACTTGAGGGCAGTAGCCCTGTTTCTTCCTTATTTCTCACAAGTGTCTAGATATTTAATAACGATTGATTTTATATACTAAATTGTACCAGCACTGGCACTGATCAGAACTTTCCCCAGGAGAGATCTGAACTAAGTACCAGGAAATTCTTGTTGGTGTTCTTTTAAGTGCAATAGTCAAACTTACGGAGAAGTGTATTTTTAAAATGCATGCTTAAATTTTGTTTTTTTTTTCTTTATTTATTTTTATTAGTTGGAGGCTAACTACTTTACAATATTGTAGTGGTTTTTGCCATACATTTACATGAATCAATGAATTAATGAAGTTAATGAAGTGCCATGCTGCTTTAAAATGCTTCCTGGAAAAATATAATAAAGCAAGTATGACAAACGTGTTAAATGTAGGTGATGAACATCCTGGTGTGATCAATGCATTAGCCTTTTAGCTCTTCTGGGCTTCGTTTTTTAATAAAAAGCTGAAAGAATGTCACACAACCAACATACCAATGGGTCAGGTATTTCAGTTCATCCTTTTATTGCTAAATGGTATTCCACTGTATGGCTATATCAGATTTGTTGATCGACCCACCTCCTGGTGGACATTCAGATTGTTTCCTGTTTGGGGCTATTATGAATAATGCTGTAATTATTCATACACAAGTCTTTGTGTGGGTTTGAGAGATAAGCATAAAAAATTCAATTTTATAAGAAAAAAATAGTCATTTTATGCAGCTTGTGCTTAGGCCACATTCAGTAGTGCTGTTTTTCAAGACTCAAGTTTAATAGATTTTTATAAAACCAAAATGACTAGAATTTTCAGGAAAGCTTTTCTGGTTCATTTAGTTTTCCAGTGAGGTGAGGCTTTGACAACATGACATCTTTATTTCAATGTGTCTGAATTCTGCTTTTGCCAACAGTGCAAGTCTAGTGATGTTTCATAGATGACCCAAGAGTTTGCAAGGTCTCCTGCTCACTGGACAGTGAGCTGCTGTCCAGGACTGTAGAGAACCGGTCCAGCAGAAGGCACAGACCAGGCTGCGCATCTGTAACACAGCATGAGGTTGCTTTTACCCATCATCCTGATATGAGCTATTGTTTTTTAAATCTGCTTCTAGTTGCCTTACTACCTGCCATTTATTAGCGCCTAACTATACGCCAGGTGCTTTACACAGTGTAAAATTCTCCAGCGGCTCACCTCAGAGAATCAGGTGGGAACCCCGTAGTGATGGCGGCAGGTCCTGCTCCCGCCACACAGCACACACGCCTGGACGACAGCTTGAGTCTGGTATCTGGGTCTGTTTTCTGTTCCACTGCCTGGCGCCAACCATGTAACTGCCTCTTTCAAAGAGTAACTCCACAGGCTTCAAAAAGTAGTCAGTTTGCTTTGTTTTCATAGTCTGATACCAGTGCCAGTGGGTAGGCTACCAAATCCTTGCACCAATTTCTATGAAGCAAGCTAATAACAGCTAACATGTACTGGGGTATAGTGTATGTCAGATACCAACAGGCTCTTTTTAATAATTTTCTCATTCAACTTTCAGTATCTATTATTATCCACATTTTACAATTGAGAACGCTGATGAGTCTCAAAGAAGTGAAGTCGCCCAAGGATGAAGAGTACTTCCTCAAGGAAATACTCCTTTAATTGAGGTATAACTGACATTTCCTTCAAATAATGGTGACTTAGAAATCATGTCATTTCAGAAACTGAAAATAATTTATAAAAATAAGAAAACTTTATTTTTGCCTTAGAAGCTGACATAAAACAGCCTTGACTTTTTAAAGCCAACTTTGTTCTTTCTGCATCCTTATCCTTGGATCATGAATTTACTTGGCATCAATGAGTATGCCAAAGAAAAATCCCCAAACTGAAGAAAACAGGCGTATTTCCCCTCTAAAAATTGAGAGCCAAATATTCAGCTATTAGAGTAAAGTATTTTCCTTGCAACCAGTCTCGGATTGAGTGATGTCACTCTAGTGGCTCAGCAAGTGGCAGGCTCCCTCCTTCCAAACCACCATGGAAGGCCTGCTGCTGAGAAGGAGGCCAGACATCTGGACCTGAGGCCCCACGTGAGGGCACAACAAAGTGCTCCCTGCTTCACACCCGGCCTAGGAGGGGAGTCTCAATTCAGGAGTGACGAAGTAAGTGCTTTAAGAACACATACTCCACATATACGTTCCACAGGAATCCAAGAAAAAGGCACAGTGCTTGTCCAGCAAAAGGCTGTGTGCTCCACAATACCCAGCAGTTATCCTCAGGGTGACAGATGAGCTGCTTTTCTCAGAAACCCCTTTCCTGTCTCCGGGGTTACGCACAATGATGCCTGGGCTCTACATCCTTTCTTTAAGAATTTCAAACAGTGATACAGGTCTGGTTTAATTCTTCCTTTTGCATTTAGGTAAGACTGTTTCCCATACTAGTTTTACACGTTCTAGAAGAGCTTAAAAAACTATGAACACATTGCTATTAAAACATGACATGTTAGGAATCAAAATAACACAAGGGCCAAAGACCATGATATGAGGCAGTCAGTAGTGTTGCTTATATGCACGTCCCCCCACCTCGTCCTTCCCAGAGGCAAGCTCACACAGCCATGAGCAGCTCCTGCAAGGCTTCGCCAAGGTTGTACAGGTCATCACTGGCCAACAGTCAAGCTTGAAACAGCAACCTAAACCATAACAAAGCACTGGGTTGTTCTATCCAAAGGAAGGCCAAGTGTCTTATGCAACAGAATTTCTGTGCGAGTCAGCCCCAGACTCTGAGCGAGGGGCACTGTGCTGGGGATGTGACGTAGCTCCCCAGCAGCAGTGACATCTGGAGACTAATACTGAAAGCTGCGCTTGGTCTGGATGTCATCAAGAATCTGCTGTAGCTCCTCATCTTCAAACCGCCCCTCCAGGCTACAAGAAGAAAACCAAAAGTGAGTGTCACAGCAACTGACAGTGCTCCCACCCTCTTCTTTCATAGATGTGGATCTTGGAGCACCGCTGGCTCATCTCTCCGCTCACCCCTAAACACTGACACCTTTACATTTCAACTCAATTTCTTTCCTTTCCTTTGAAAACATTATAAAGTATTTCAAATACAAAAAAGGTATAGAAGAATTATCCCTACTTGACTCATTAATAAATACTGACAGACACAAATCAATGGTTCTGTGTGTGTGCCCCTACTCCAAAACCTTCTCTTCCTTTCCTAGGAGTAACAATCATCTTAAATTTGGCATTCATTATTCCTACATATATTTTTATACTTACTACTGTATACACAAATGTACCCATAAGCAATACATAGCACTGTTTTTAAACTATAAGAAACAGCATTGTACTGTATGTATCCTTCTGCAATTTTTTCACTCAACATTCATTCTGGCACATGTTGACATTATCTCACATTGTTCTAGTTCACTTATTTTTTTCACTGCTTTATAATAAACATTGCAAGACTGCACAAAGATTTATTTATCCAGTCTTGCAGACTGAAGACTGTTGGCAAGTTTCCACTATCACTAATAATGCAGCAATATACACTGGAATACATGTCTCCTTTTAAACTATGTTTGAACTGTTTTTAGGACACATACCCAGGAATGAATTTTGGGGTCATGGGGTGTATTTAACTTTACTGGATGTAGCCAAATTATTCTCCAAAGTGACTGTATTAATTTGTACTCCTATCATGAGTGGACCAGAGTTTCAGCTGTTTCACATTTTTGCCAACAACTGGCATACTATAAAAACACTGGTCTCACTACAAAGGCACGCATTCTCCTGGGCTGGCCAAAAAGTTCGGTTTTTTTCCTTAAGATGGCTCTATTAGCATTTAGGTGTCTTTAATTTCATTCAAAACAATTTTGTTAGACTATATTGTGACAGCTGTCATATCAGCATGCATTAAAAAAAAAAAAAAACTTACCAAAATTGAATTTTTGTGTGGCCACTTCTATACTGAAAAAAAGCAACATTTTTGGCCTATTATGCTTTATTTCAAGAAAGTAACACAACTGAAGTGCAAAAAAAAGATTTGTGCAGTGTATGGAGAAGGTGCTATGACTGACTGAACACATCAAAAGTGGCTTGTGAACTTTCGTGCTGGAGATTTTTCGCTGGACGATGTCCCACAGTCAGACAGAACAGCTGAAGTTGATAGCAATGAAATCAACACAATAATTGAGAAAACAATCAATGCTATACCACGCAGGAGATAAGATAGCCAACATACTCAAAATATCTGAATCAAGCATTGAAAATCATTTGCATCAGCTGGTGTCTGAGTTCTTTGATGTCTGAGTTCTACATAAGTTATGCAAAAAAAATAAACCAAACCCTTCTTTACTGTATTTCCTGTGCAATTCTCTACATGAATGTAACAAAAACATTTTGTTTTAAAAACAAAGTTTGAAAGGCGATGAAAGTGAATACTGTACAATAATGCAGAATGGAAGAGATCCTGGGGCAAGCAAAATGAATCAGCACCAACATGCCAAAGGCCAGTCTTCATCCAAAGAAGGTGATGTATACACGGTGGCATCGGAAGGGAGTCATCTATTATGAGCTCTTTTTGGAAAAGATCCCAATTAGATCAACTGAAAGCAGCACTCGACAAAAAGTGTCAGGAATTAGTCAACAGAAAATGCATAATCTTCTATCAGGATACCGCAAGACCAAATGTTTCTTTGACAACCAGGCAGAAACTGTTATAGCTTGGCTGGGAAGTTTCGATTCATCCGCCATATTCACGGGAGCCTCTTGATGAAGGTAAAAGAGGAGAGTGAAAAAGTTGGCTTAAAACTCAACATTCAAAAAACAAAGATCATGGCACCTGGTCCCATCACTTCATGGCAAATAGATGGGGAAACAATGGAAACAGTGAAAGACTTTATTTTCTTGGGCTCCAAAATTACTGCAGATGGTGACTGTAGCCATGAAATTAAAAGACGCTTGCTCCTTGGAAGAAAAGTTATGACTTACCTAGACATCNACCAAAGGAATTTTTTGGCCAACCCAATGTTGGTGATATCCAGATAGCACACAGCTTTTAAATACAGTAATTCTACTTGCAGGAATTTATTTAACATACACAGAACTTTTCACCACCAGCACTAACCTTGGGATCAGAGCCTTGGACTCCTCAGCAGTCTCTGGACAAAGGTTGGCTAAACAGGCCAACTCAAACTTATGAAGCTTCTTCTGGAGCAGCAAGCTGATACAGGGGAGAAATACCAAAACAAGCCAAATGATGAATAAGAAAAAGGGGATGAAATGTAGGTAGCAAGGAAGAGAAAAATGTAAAGCATCTGCAATCTTTCCGTTAAGATTAGGTTTGCTATAAAATCCCACATTCAAATCAATTCCTGTTCCTGTTTCTCTTCCTGGAGAGCAGGAAGCTATGAATCAGGCAAAGACAATAAATAATCTGAGCACAGTAATCTGAGCACACCTAAGAAGGATTCTTGTGATGAAAACTTACCAAAAAAATGCTCTCTACCCAGAGGACCATACCATCTTTCCCCCAAGAATTGATTTTGTTGCTTTCTGCTCTTCCTACCATTGTTCTTTGCTTCCTTTGTTAATTTTATGTCTTAACACACGATGTTAGATTTCCCCGATCTAGTAGGCATTTTGACTTGGAGGAAATTCTCTTTTTTAAAAAAATTTTTACTTGATTTTTGGCCACAATGAATGGATTGCAGAATCTCAGTTCCTTGAACTAAGGGATCGAACCCAGACCCTCTGCAGTGGAAGCGCAGAGTCCTAACCACTGGACCACCAGGGAATGCCTCAAATTCTCTTTTACATGTATCTAAGAAATAAATATAGGCATATCTTAGTTTGTACAAATCTGTGTATAAGCTGCATCTTATTTTAAATGTACTTCTAGTTCCAACTGTGAAAAAGAACATCATTAATACAAATCACATCCTGGATTCTCACACATCTACTATTTTTTCTAGAAAGATAATATCATTTTAGTAGAATATTTTATCAAGAGTCAATGACATCAACTACATGTTAAATTTTCTAAACTTTAAAAGATATTTAGTTTATCTATCTATCTATTTTTCCCTGTCAGGGGTCTTCGCTGCTGCACGCGTGCTTTCTCCAGCTGCAGCGAGCTCCGGCTTCTCGCCGCGGAGCATGGGCTCTCGAGCACAAGCTCGAAGCTGTGCCGCATGCCCTCAGTTGCCCCTTGGGCACGCGGACTCTTCCCAACCAGAAAGCAAACCAGTGTCCCCTGCACTGAAAGGCAGATTCTTAATCGCTGGACCACCAGGGAAATCAAACTTCTTAAAACACAGGTTGTCTGTGGTAAATTCGGTTTCAGAAAGGACCTGTTTTTAAAAATCTTATTTTTGGCTGTGCTGTGCGGCATGCAGCTTCTTAATTCCCTGACCAGGGATCTAACCTGCATCCTCAGCAGTGAAAGCACAGGGTTTTAACCACTGGGATGCCTGTGAAACCCTTGATTATCTGATCAGACAAAATCATTTACTGTCCTTATCACTTGATTACAAGTCTACTAGTTATTAAACAAAATTGAGAAAATAAAGACAGAAAAATGGCACCCATATTACTACCTCAACAAAATCAACATTACCATCTTACTATACCATTCTGAACATTTTTCTATGTTTTAGAAATAAACTCACTCATTCTATTGTTTAACTTTTGGTCACCTAATAAAGCTATTTTCATCTTGTAAAGAAAAACTTACACAGGTTCATAATGTAGTAAATATATGTATATGGAGGGGTTTGTTTGTAAAATGAACACATGCTCATTTATAACGAACACCCCCTCAAAAAAATCCACCCAATATGGGAAAATAAGCTGAAATTCTACCCAGAAATAACTAGTGCTAACATATTCATGGAGTTCCTCTTCCCCTTCTCTACATAATTAAAAAAGAAATCATAACATATGTTATTTTATAACTGGCCTTTTTTCACTCAACAATACAGTCACTGTCTTCCACATTTTACACACGTACCTTTTCCTTCAACTTGGCATTCAACAGGCATTCAACCTGTTGCTTAATTTATATAGCAAACATCCTGCTCTTGAACACTTCCCTTGCTTCCAATTATTCACCATTTTGAATAATGCATTCTGAACATCATTGTAAATGCATACTTCATTATGTATCTGATTACTGTGTGTTTTAAAGATAAATTTCTGGAAGCAGAATTATTCAGTCAAAAGATATGACCGTCTGGAAGGCTTCTGAGAGACAGTGAGTGCCCTGAAAGAGCTTTACCATTATACACTTCCACCAGCAAAAAAAGATGGTGGCTGTTTCCCTTACTTCTTACACTAGGTTTCCCATTCTTTGTCTGTTTGGCTTAAAACAACTTATTATTTCAATTCAGGAGGCCAGAAGTCTGATTAAGATGTTGTCAGGGTCATGCTCTTCCTAAAGTCTCTAGGAGAGAAGCTGTTTCCTGCAGTTTCTTAGCTTCTGGTGCCACTGACAATCCTTGGTGCTCCTTGGCTTGTAAATATGACAACCATTCTCTGCTTGCATTGTCATATGCTATTTTTTCTGTCATACTCTCCTTATAAGGGTAACAGTCATACTGGATTAGAATGCACTTTAACTGAATATGACCTCATCTTGACTTTGCAAAGATTCTATCTCCATAAAAAGACACATTCACAGGTACTGAGGATTTAGTGCTTCAACATCCTTTGAGGGGACACATTTCAACCTATAACATGGTCCAAAGGGGAGAGGTTTGGTCTCAAAAGGTTCCAAGAGAAATAGTCACTGGGGAGGCTTTAAAAACATTAGTCAAAGACCCAGGCCTACTGAGGAACGGGTAAAGGATGAAAAGGGTTTCCCAGGTGGCTCAAGTGGTAAAGAATCTGCTTGCCAGTGCAGGGGACGTGGGATAGTTTCCCACTCTTTTAAAATCTACTTAGCCATTTTAGCATGTCTTTGATTTCCTTGAAGATGAACATTACTTCATATGAATTAGATAGTCATTTGAAGTTGTGATATAAATCTAGTCATTAAAGACTAAGTTCATTTTTATAAACTGGGTGTCATCTCTTACCTTTTAGAGCTCTTAACATCAAGGATTATCAATCCTTTCCCAGTTTACTTATACTTACATTTTAAGTATGGCAGTCTATTTGATATAAGGAAGTTTAAAGATACTTATTGCAAATTCATTTACTTATTCAACTAAAAACTAGTTACTGCCTTTAATGAAATTGACAGTGATGAATATGATCAAGTCCTTGCTCTTGCAAAGCTTACAGCCAACTAGAGTTTATCAACCTTCCTCACATATAAAGTCCTACTAACCACAGCCAAAATTGTACATTCACTCATGTTATCACATAGTACTTTTATGCATCATAGTTTACATTTGCATTCTTAATTTCTAAAGAAACCAGTTTGGAGTAAGGTATACAGAGTTAAAACTCTGTTTCAAAATATTTTCCCACTAACTTAGCAAGTCACCTTTGTCATATACTGGAATCATATAAAATATAATAAATTTGGAGGTGAATCTGTTCCTTAATTTCCTATTCTGTCCCAATGATCTATCCTCACGCCAAAGTGTCACTATTTTAATTATTGTCATTTTTTAATGTATTTTAACATCCTATAGAGCAAATTCCCTTTTATTTTTTTTTTTTAAGTTTTTTCCTGACAATTCTTACAAATTTAAGATCTTTTGGGGGGTATTCATTTATTTATTTTTCACTGCTGAGGATATATTTTTCTCGGCACCATTTCAGATAGACTGTGCTACTCACTGGTAGGAGTCAAATAATCGGTGTTTTGCCTCAGCCACTATGATCTATTACCATCTTATCTTAGTTGAATTATATGGAAAATTAAGCTTTATCATGAGCATATTTGAGAGAGAGAGAGAGAGAGTGAGTGAGTAAGTGAGTGAGTGTGTGTGTGTGTGTGTGTGCAGGCTTCTCAGGTCGCTCAGTGGTTAAAGAATTTTTGCCGGCCAATGTTGGAAAGATCCCCTGGAGTAGGAAATGGCAGCCCACCCCAGTATTCTCACCTGAAAAATTCTAGGGACAGAGGAGCCTGGAGGGTGTATATATATCAATTCCCTTGAGGATTTAGAATGGCAGTAAAGGTATACATTAATTTGAAGAGAAATGACATTTTTATGGTATTTATTTGTGAATGTTTAAGTCCACCTTCATTTATTCATTTTTTTGGTGAAACAATTAGCAGTTTTGTATGGAACGTTTTCCCCATGAATACACTCAAACTTTTCACAACAGTCTATACTTCACATAGTTATATCACTTCATTTTCTGCACATTTAACTTTTTTTTTTTGTGGCTGCACTGAGCAGCTTATGGGATCTTAGTTCCCCAACCAGAGACTGAACTGAGTTGCTGCAGTGGAAGTACTGAGTCCTAACTGGACCGCCAGGGAACTCCCTCTGTACATTTAACTGATGTGAACATCTTTCAGTTTCATTTTCTATCATAATTTTTAATGACAACATAGGAGTCCATCGAATGGATTTACCACAATTTATTTAATTACTATTGAATATTTAGGTTGTTTTTCACCTTTGACTACTATAATTCTCTTTAGAGTCTGCATATATACATCTTTTTGTTCATCTGCCTTTCCTTAGGACAGTTACCTCTCAAACATTTTCACAGGAGTAGAGAAAACAAGCACCCCCAGGCAACCTGCAGGCAAAACGACTTTCTGCAACTGCAAGGATTGAAGTCTTACGATTTAATTCAAGAATTCATATACATTTTTTGTTTTACTTCACAGTATACTGGTATCTGCTTTAATGTAGAAATGTATTAAATCATATACCATCAAATAAAACTGATACTTCTTCAAGAAAGAGATGCTACCCAGTTTATAAAAATGGACTTATCCAGTGGCTTGATTTATATTAAACTTTAGGTGACTATCTAATTCATACAAATAAAGTTCATCCCCAAGGAAATCAAAGAAATGTTAAAATAGCTCTTGTTTTCTCTGGGGCTTCCTGTATGCTCCAGCACCTCACTGTTCCCAGAACATGTCCAACTCAATTTGAGAAGCAATGCCTTAGGGAGAATAAAGGCTAAAAACCAGTCACCATTTGAAAAGTAAAGATCCAAAAGGAATCCAAATTTATGTTTGTTTGTTTATTTATTGGCCATGCCATTAAGCATGTGGGATCTTGGTTCCCTGACCAGGGATGGAACCTGGGTCCCCTGCATCAAAAGGCAAATTCTTAACCACTGGACCTCAAGGGTAGTCCCTCTTGCTATGTTAATGAATATAATTATAAACATTATATAATCATATACTTATATATTATAACAATATATTAATATGTAATAATGTATTATATATAATATACAGCATATATTATACAATATAATATATATATATAATTGTATAATTATGTAATAATATATTCCACCAGGATAATTCCCTGGTGGTTCAGTGGTTAATACTCCACACTTTACACTTCCACTGTAGGGAGTGTGGGTTCAATCCCAGCTTGGGGAACTAGATTTCACATGCAAAAGGGCAACTAAAGCGATCTGCCACAACTGCTGAGCCCTATACTCTGCAGCCCGCAAGTCACAATTAGTGAGAAGCTGGCACGCTGTAGTGAAGAGCTGATGTGCAGACACTAGGACCTGACACAGACAGATACATATAAATAGGTATTTAAAAAACACAGCAAGACCTCTAGGACATATCAAGTGAATAATAAATAAATAAGTCCACTTTATTTAAAACATAACAGGTCTGTGTGTTTATGACATGTATGTATATAAATTCATGGAATAAGCTCTGGAGGGCTAACAACAAACTTTTGACAGTAGTTACTCTGCATGGAGGTTAAGTGGGATCTGGGGAACAGAAAAAGTAGGCAAGGAGGATTTTGGCCTAACAAGCTACTTTAAATTTTGTCAAAGAAATAATTTTACTCACATGAATCACACAGATGATGCTCATGAGGTAGCAGGGGGGTGGGATGGGTGAGTGGGGATGGTGGTGGTGACAGCATTATACATGCTGTCTGCATTAATAAGACAACAGTCTGCATTAATAAGAACTTTCTTTCAGCACTCACCTACGGACACTGGCAATGGTCTCTCTGTTTTTGAAACGACTGAAACGGGCAGTGTAATTTAAAGTTTTCATGAAGACCTCTGAAAGTTCCTGCTCATCCTCTGCACTCTCATTCTGCTGCTTTCGATGCTCAAGAAGCATATGAACTTCCGAATTCAGAAGCGTCTCAGCTGTTTCAAACTCTATTTGCGAGAAGCATAAATGTCAACTGAAAATATTTCTTCCCAAGTCAGCTTCTAAATGTTCATTTGCCTTAGTGACTATCAGCAAATTTCTGCCCCTGCAGAATTCCAGAGGCTTCACATCCTACAACTGTACAGTGTTCAAACAAACAAAACTCCTTAAATTAAAAAAACTGAAACAAAACCCAAGTACCAAAAACTGGTTTATCATGAAATTCAGAAAACCACCTACCTCTCAGTTATCACACCTTAAAAAAGAAAACAAACATACACGTCCATTATGCCTACAATGTCCATGAAGCTGTCCTTGGAAATATTTCACCCTGAGTCTATGAAATACAATACTGAAAGCAATCTCTATATACATTAATGAATAGAAATACAGTACAACCAAGGAGATCCAACCAGTCCATCCTAAAGGAGATCAGTCCTGGGTGTTCATTGGAAGGACTGATGGTGAAGCTGAAACTCCAATACTTTGGCCACCTCATGCAAAGAGCTGACTCACTGGAAAAGACCCTGATGCTGGGAGGGATTGGGGGCAGGAGGAAAAGGGGACGACAGAGGATGAGATAGCTGGACAGCATCACCGACTCGATGGACATGAGTTTTAAGTAAACTCCGGGAGTTGGTGATGGACAGGGAGGCCTGGCGTGCTGCGATTCATGGGGTCGCAGAGTCGGACACGACTGAGCGACTGAACTGAGCTGACAACCATGAAGTGGGCTTAGCGGTAAAGAATCCACCTGCCAATGCAGGAGACCTGGGCCTGATCCCTTGGTGGGGAAGATCCCCTGGAGAAGCAAATGGCAACCTACTCCTGTATTCTTGCCTGGGAAATTCCATGGACAGAGGAGCCTGGTGGGCTACAGTCCAAAGTATCACAAAAGAGTTGACACAACAACTTTGCAACTGAACTGCATCATCACCCATCAAGTACTACCTAGTCCTTTAAAAGAATAGAACAGTTCTACACGATTTATGATTTCTATAGCATAATCCTATTTTTTGCAAAGAATAAAGGGTATATGTGTAAGTATATATTTGTAAATAAGCATGGCTTAGAAGGATAAACACTATTTATAGTTGTTTGGGTGAAAAGGCGTGGACTTTAATGTTTTACTCTGCATATATTAGTAAAAATTTTTTTTAAAAGGAGGGTACTGTTAAAATTTTCCCCACTTTGTTGTTGTTGTTCATTAACTTCGTGTTTTTCATTACCTGTAAGATAACATTTTGAAGTCTTAAGCTTTCTACTTATTTGAGGTTTTTAAATTACACATTACGGAGAAGGCAATGACACCCCACTCCAGTACTCTTGCCTGGAAAATCCCAGGCTGCAGTCCATGGGGTGGCCAAGAGTCGACATGACTGAGCGACTTCACTTTCACTTTTCACTTTATGCATTGGAGAAGGAAATGGCAACCCACTCCAGTGTTCTTACCTGGAGAATCCCAGGGATGGGGTCGCAGAGAGTCGGACACGACTGAAGTGACTTAGCAGTAAATTACACATTAAATCCATCACACAGCACAGAAGTTCCCTGATAGCAAACCGTGCTTTACTCGCTGTCATCTGACAAAGATCTCTCATAACCAAACTCTAGCCAGGCTCCTATGCGCCCTTTTCTCGACTAGGACTCAAGGTTGTTCCACAAAGACTTGAAGAAAACACTAACACGGTTTCTAACAGCTCAAGGCTGCATCCCTTGGATGACTCTGGTTCCTTTACAATGGCTGCTTATGAAAACTGAAGGCTGTCAAAGTAATTTGTTTGTTCCAGACAACATCTGAAGATAGGGCCCTCGTCTCACAGCCCAGAGCGAAGGGTGTGGAAGGGAAGGCGCCTAACCCCATAACCACCAGTTAAATCCAAATGAGCTTCAAACGGACCAACCCCCGCTTCTCGTAATTTTTCACTTCCCTGACTCTTTATGAGCCCCTGCTCACCCCTCTCCCTATTCCTTCATTCTCCCTTTAAAACCCCCAGTCACCTTTGTACAAATACAAGTCTAGATAGATTCCACGCTTCACGCTTTTCCCTACTGCAATAGTATATTAACCTGCCATTACCCCTTTAATGTTGGCTTTATCTTTGACACAACCGTCCAGCACTTCCCAGTTTACGGGCTAAAACAACTTAAACACGAACAAGAGGCCACCCGGGGCGATGTAAAGTTGGGCGCCGACGACTCCAGGGCTGCCGGTGTGGGCTCCAGCTGGCTAGTTCCCGCGGTACCGTGCCCAGCGCCCTCACCCTCCTCCTCCGCTCCCTTCGCCACGCCTGCCCAGGGCGCACCTTTGGGAAAGATGAGTTGTGATGCGTCCTCCTCTACATCTCCAGAGCGCGGATCGCTACCGCCTGCCGCCATCCTCTCGCCGAGAACCTGTATTCACTCTGTCGGAAGCGGAAGCTCTTTCCGGCCTCCGCCACGGAAGGGGCGTGTCCTTGGGGATGGGGCGGGGCCCCACTGGAGATGGGCGGGCCGCGATGGGTAGGCGAGACATCCACGGAGTGGGCGGGGCCACGGGACCAAGCGGCCTAGGGCGCGAGCCGAGAGGGGCCAGAGCGGTGGGGTCTTGCAGGTCTCTGCAAGGGCCGCGGCAGCGTGGCGTATCCTGCGACCACGGCGGGAGAAAACCGGCACTTTCTTCAACAGTAGGTACTTCGCCGCGAGTCGTGGGGACTGCTCACTTGGCACTTCTGAGCCTCGGCTGTCTCACCTGTGAAGTGCGGAGGAGGATACCGGTTTCCAGGGCGCAGGGGAAGGATTAGATGAGATGCAGGAACGCGCTGACCGACCTAAGGATCGGAAGCTGGGTAGGTGATTGAAAACATTCAGTATAATTCCTCCAATGCCTCAAAGCATTTAAAATGTTTGATTTGTAGTGGATTTTTTCCAATACTTCTGAACATGTGGATAGTGATATTGAGAAGCCTGTTGGAACATTTGGATGATATTTAGAATAAGTAAGCAAATGAAAAATGATTCTGTTTCCAACTTGAGAGAAAACAGATGGTTGTACAATGAAGGAAATAACCATAGTGCCCTGCTTGGCTCAGGAATGAACCATCTATAAGTATATAAACTGTTCACAAAAAATGAAGATATTACCAGACAAGGGTATGCACCTGTATCCCTTTCATTTATAATTCCTTTAAATTATAATTTATAAAAGTTAATTTGCCTTGTGTATGTGTTTCCAAAAAAAATGTATCAGGTGAATTAATGGTAGGTTATATAGTGCTGGCAGAGCTTATTACTGCTTCAAAGTGCTTTCCTACACAGTTCATTAGAGCTGCAGACCAATGCCCGGAGAAGGAATCTGGGAACATGCCCCAGCTGGGTGTGGGATAAGTCCTGAGCTCAGTGTAGGCCCCCTTCTCCCATCTATCCATCCAATAGGTTTTTGCAGAGCACCTACCTACTACTTAACTGGACCTTAACACTTGCTGGCTCCAGTATCAGCCAGATCCCCAGCACACAGCAGGAAGAGAAGTCAACAGAGGAGAACCACAAATAATCCACAGTGATGTTTCACAGGCTGCTTTATCCACATTTTCATTCAGGAAGCCATTATTAACATGTCAGTGCAAGGCCCTGAATTTAAAATGAATCAGTCCTAGAGCTGTACCCAAGAGGAGCTCACCAAGAGTAGCTGATGAAAGATCTGAACTTAACTTCTATCATAAAAGAGAGTGACAGAAGATACAGAGAAAGAGATCATGAAGTTCCTCAAGAGCTACTATGGTTCTTTGTACTACTGTATTGGCTCAGAGTCAAGTTCTTCAACCAGCCCAGTGAGTGCCTTTCAAAGGCAGATATTCAAAGCCAAGGTCACAGACCCTAGATTTATCTGGAAGCAGATTTAGAGCAGACTTGAGCATCTCCTCCATCCTTACAAGAACTCTGATTTCTGACCACATGGCTTAGTTAACATTTCTCAGACAACAGAATGGTTAAAATGGCAAATTTTATGTTATATGTGAATCCACGGGGTCAGAGTTGGATGTGACTAACACGTCTGTATTTTACTACCACAAAAAAACAACAAAAAAGACATGGATTTCCATGCCGTTTAACTACAGGTGGTATTACAAATATGAAATACTACTCTAGAACCATAATTTCTCAATCAGCTGTAATCTATTTCCAAAATCATCATCTAACCCTGATAATGTACACCTGTGGCCAAGTATCAGGGATTCAGATCTTGGTATCTTAAACAAAAAATTACATCCTTGCAAATAATTTCAGCCAAAGACTAACAATATCCGTATATGAATGTAAAGTTTGAAGTTATTCCTTGCTATTTTCTCCAAACACACTTTATCCTTTCTAGGCCATCCAAAACTAAGAAATATTTCCTTTAGATCAGACCACACAATGTCCCAGGGTCACTGTTGGCTTTGTTAACCTCATGAAATATCTTAAATTTGAGCATTTCCCCACTACCCCCTTTCAGATTGTAGCTTTCTGGGCAAGATCATTGGAAAATCTAAGAACTATGAACCTTAGTTCAGAAAATTTGGCTCTTAAAAAACCAGTGGTACTGCTAGCAACCACAAAAAAATATAAAAATGAAAGGTTATTGGGGATCAACACCATACAAAATATGCAGGCTGAGTAAATATGATCTGGTTGGCTAGCTCTAAATAATGACTATTCAAAAATTACTATTACTACTCTCTACTATTCGGAAAAAAAAAAAAGACAAGACAAAGAACAATTTTTACCCATTATGATTTATTCTCTACAATACTTTGTTAAAGAGTTCAATGATTTGCACTCAGAAGTTATATAGCCAAGAGGCAACCAAGTGTAATACAAAGAATTGGTCTAAAGTCTTTGCACTGAAGGCCATACAAAGTCTCTTGCTTCAGGGAAATAAGAATGAAAATAAACAAAAAGAACAAATAGCTCCCTAGGTTCCAGAATCTCAATAGAAAATAACATCAACAGTTAGTGAAATTGTAGGTGTTAACATACCATGGAAAACAGATCTTGTGCAAATATTAAAATTAACACCCAGGACTTCTGTATAGATGATTTTTATTATAAACAATAAAATATATGTAATGTCTGAACTACAAACCTTTCATGTTGAAATGGTCTCTAACATGAGTTGCTTTGATATTATGAAGCGAAAAAGTTTAAGAACCTCACAGTGGAAACAATCCAACACTGATAAACTCTAATGATCAAAGACATTCTCTTTTAATGAAGAACAAGGGCAATTCGAAATTACAGAGAGAATGTCCTAGCTGTGGGTATTATGAGACAAGCCAACTTTCCAGACCGAAAGGCACTCACAGCTAGGGATGAAACGAACTCCGAACCAACCAGCCACAGTGGGCTGGTCCCTTAAAAACAGGGGTTACTGTTCAGCTCGAGCAGTCCAAGGACATAGGAAACAGAGCAGAGAACATCCCCTTCTCTTTAAACTGCCACTCACACCACATATACTGGCCACCCGCATCACTGCTTTGGTCAAGCAACATGGAAGGCAGCTCAGTTCCCATTCGGAGTTGTCATTTCCCTATGCAAAGCTGCCATATGGATGATCCAGACTTAGTATTTTTCCTGAGAGCCACCTGCCACACATCTTCATAAGGTGACCATGACCGTTTATTTCCAGACCCCTTCCTGACTTGGCTCCATTCAGGACACACACTGAGTGCCATCCCTCACAGGGCCAAACAGTTTTCCTTGGTCGACTCCTGAGTCCTCTTACTAAAGGAAGGAACTCGAGCGTCTCCGTTGCTGGATTTGGATGGGAGCATGAGGGAATGTGCGGGGAGTAAGGCTTCTTCACTCCAAAAACCAGAGCCCACTTCAGTGTGATGCTGGGCTTAAGCCCGATTCTTGTGCACTGATTTTTTACCCCCATTTCCTGGGGTTTTAAATTTTCTGGTTTTTTCCTTAAACGGCAGGTATCCTACCCCACCCTCAATAAAATTAAAACAAAACAAAACAACACAACTATACACTGGGAAAGACAAATAGGGCAACATTTCTACAAGAAAAAATAGGCTTGAAAGAGCATGGCACTGTAAATGCTTGCATGACCAGTCTCACTGAGCGTGCTCAGGGGTGAAAGTTTAGCACCATTTTTTTTTGCTTTTTTTAAACTTTAGAAATTAAACACAACTTTTTTAACATAGAAGACTTGAACAGTAATGAGTGTAGCCCTATGTATCAATACTGTTGTACAAATTGGAGGTGGGTGGTTTAGTCCAGAGCTGACCACCCTGACATCAATCCATGGCACCTAAGTAACCGTCGTCACATTTGTTTGCAACAAGACATTTATTATTCTCAGCAGCAGGAAATCATGAAACAACAACTTCATCTTCAGAAGCCTGTTTTCATTAGCACTGCGAGGGAAAGGGGGCAGGATGTGGGAGTGCGGCCCAGCAGCGAGACAGTGCTGGAGCCTGGCCCGCACATCTGGACATCAGCCCACGCTTCCCTGGCACATTCCACACCCTTAACAGCAGAGGATGGTGCCAAGCACACCTGCTCGCCCTAACCCATCTCTTCAAGAAAAGGACAGCAACGCCTAGAAAAGCATGTGTGTCATTCCTCAGACTGTGTCCCTGCTCCCCTCCGCCCCCCGCTCCTGACAGAAGAAAACTCAAAAGATCTTTTGACTTGAATATTTGCCCATTTCAGAAAGCCACACCACTACCACATAAACATTAAAATAAATTAAATCAAAACATTATGTTCACTGGGTTGACACCCAATCCACTTTAGAGTTCTCTAAGCATATTTATTGTTGGAAACCAGTGTATCACCTGTAGGGCCTTTTCTTCCAACTGGCCACCTCTTCCTGTGAATCATTTCAGCAGTGCCTCTGTGACAATGTTTTCAAAGCATCTTCCTAATTCCCAACTTCTATGAACTTTGCCACCATATGAGTGAAGAATAGGCAAGAGGGAGGAGAAACTTGCTGACAGCCATTTGGAATCAGCAAGAATGGGAAAGGGAAATATGCCACATGAAAGTATGAATGACCTAAAATAAAATAAGCTATTTGGAACTCTGCCACAGTGGGGTGAAGTTTTCCCAGCGTGTTAGGCAAGATAAAGATTCACCTTGTTTAATTACACAGCTTTGTTCTAAAGTCCCCATAAAGGACTGAAACATTAACAGTTTTCCCACTTCTACAAGCAAACTAGAAAAAGGAACTCCTCTGCTTAAAGGTCTCTCAGGATGTTTGCCTGAAAAGAAAAACAGCTTGGAGACCTTGGATTCTCTCCTATGACGACGTATCCTTCTAAAACCCAACCCAAGTGCTTGTTGGAACGTCTCTGAGAACCTAGATCCAGCTATAGGCACTGCTACCAGTAGAGGAGTGAGGTAGCCAGGTGGTAAGGAAGAGGTCTCTCCCTTGACACTGCGTGCAGTGATGCCATGAGGACCTCCCGCAGGCATCCCAGTCCATCCGCAGCAGGCCAAACCACAGAGCTCGGTTCAGTACCAGAAGACTCGATGCAGGAAGAGTGCCAGAAAATCCAACTGAGAGTGGGATGAGAATTAGAACCTTCAAGGCTAACTGAGCAATGAGATCTGCAACGCCATCCAAAGGGCTTCTGGTCGTGAGGTGGGTCTCTGTCCAGGAGCCACAGGACTCATGGTGCCCACGTTCGACCCTTACATGGCGTCCGCTTATGAAGCATGGAGGTTGTGATCAACTCTTGGTACGCAATTAACTGCAAGTTTAAAAAAAGGAATTTAAAACAACCTAAAAATGTTTCTTGTTGGTCTCCGTTGCCCAGACTGCCAGGGGAATACACCTACTTGATCTGGGGAGGCTGCAGGTGTGTGTGGGGTAGGCCTTCATGGACCATCAATTCCAGCTTCCACCGTGCGCCCGACACACAGGCGGCTAATCAGCAGCGGCACCTGCATGCCAAAGTCTTCTGAGCCCACACGGAATTCTCACTAGTCATGGAGGAGCCCCAATCCAATGGAACCCCGTATTGAGGAAAGGCTGAGATAAGGCTTGGGCCCTCAAGTTCTGTTTCATTCAGTATAACCCCTCCCCCCCCCGCCCCCCACCTCAGTCAGCCGGAGGCAGACTTGGCAACGGAAGCTAGCATCATAAAATGGTGCAGTAATAGAAGTAACTGGACCAGGAAGAGGAGGCATCTGCTCCAATGATGTCATAGCCATTGGTGGCCACAGGGGGGTGGGACTGGTCATGCAGCCGTGTGTCAGGAGTAATGATTGTAGAGGGGTGGGGCATGAAGAGTGCCATTCTGGAAACAATGCTGTCGAGAAGCTATATATTCTGCATAACTGATTGTCACCTTCTCACTTCGGTACCTGTGTAAGGAAACAGGAAAGGGTGTTAGGAACCCCAAATACTTCATTTCAAAATCACGCAGCAGAGTAAACCAAAAGCTTATTCCACATTTTGAAAGAATAAAATGGAAGACCAAGAGCAATCTTACTTACAGAAAATGAAAGACAGCACAAGAAAACAGTGTTGTTATTACAAATGAACAAGATGAAAAAGCACAGTCACAGTTCACCCCTGAGAATGTTTTCTGTACATCCCACCTTTAAACACTTCGTATGCTTATCATTAGGCTGCTCTTAAGCAATCTGCTACTAGGGTCTGGATGAAGAATTTAAGGTCAAATTATATGGGTGGCAGACGGGAAGATGGCTGCACCAATGCCCAGTGTAAAATGCATTATCTATTTCAGGTTAAAATGTGATAAATTTGACAGAAATGCAACTTCAACTTGCAGAAAAGCAACAAACAAGTTATTTATAACTAAAAGGGGCACAGACACCTAATTCTGGGTCAAATTCTGATGAAGCAGGTTAAAAGATCCCGGGTCTCACTTCCCAGATGAATGTGCCATACCATTGTATCACAGGGCCATCAGAACAGAATCCATAGCACTTTGGCCTCGCTCTAAAAAGAGCCATGAGTCAGGATGCAAAGCATGGGGTGTTACAAACCTATGGAGCCTACTACAGACCACAGGAGCTGGGTGTGACAATCCTTACCCAGAGCCATCTCTTTCCCTCTGTAATCACTCCTCCACTGCAAGGTGGTTATTCCTGAATTTTGACAGGGAAATGGCTGTTCAAATAAATTATAATAATAATGATAATAATAATGCTTTGTATTTGAAGATTTTTCTTTTTTGGAATCCAAAGCATTTCAAAAACATGGGGTTATCTTCCAAATAGACCTGTGAGGTTACTACATGATTATTCAGCATTTTACAGATGAAGAGGCCAACAGAGGCCCACACAAACCCACAGAAGCTACACCTCTCAGTATTTCCAATCTCAGCAGGGATGGGAGGAGAGCTGACATCTACTGACCACCTACAATACTGCCTGGCCCCAGACTAGAATTTCTGCATACATTACCTTACCACACTCTAGAACAACCCCAAAGCAGGATTTTTTTTTCTGCTTAGAGAGGCCCAAGTCACACAGCTGGAAGTGGTGGAGCTGGGATTTAGGGTCCAATTCATGCAGATTTTACTATAGCCACCCCATGGATGTATTTGCTCCTAACAGGCAGAGGCGTTTCCTTGTTACTAGTCCATCAACACGCCACCTGACTGCATGTGGTGACTTTGACTGACCCAGGACTTCTGTTATTAAGAGGCTTCTCTCCTGCTTTCCGCCTTCCCACTCATCCTCCCAACAAGTGGGTCTGGCAAAGACACCCACGATTGTTCAGCAGCTACTCTGCCCCCACTATGCCATCAGCTGAACTATGGACATGCCCAGGATGCTGGGGAGCCTCTGCTTTCACTGCTATTGCTTCCTCAGAGCTTCAACCTCACAAATACTTCTTTGGTTTGGAGACATTAGCAGGGAACATTTTTCTCTTTCCTGTCTATCAAAAGTATCTTCCATCTAACCCCAACTAAGTTAAAATGACAAGGAAAATGAGACAGTGGCTTACCTGGTGAGTTTGATGGTTTTTCTGAATTCACTGGTAATTGGAGCCTTAAAGCCACCTTTCCTGAGCAAGGAATCTATCGTCTGGATCTGATCCCAGTCTGAGGAGAAGACAGGTGAATGGAGGTCAGTGCACAGTGACAGAACCAGGCAGGCAGTGCCCTAACGCAGCGACAGGAGGGCAGCAGCCGGACCCGCTGTGGGCAGAGCGAGCTGGGTGCTGCCCCCGCATCCCGGAGTCCTGTCTGCCTTGCTGGCAGTCAAAGGAGAGCCTGAGATGTGCCAGGATGCCCAGCACACACCATCAATGGCCTTCCCCTTCTTCTGAGTCTTTCCTGTCAGGTATGATCCCAGGACAACTATCTAGGAGCAAATGTGGTCCCAACTTAGTTGGCCTAGTGCGCTAACTAGGGCTGCTCTGGGAGAAGGGAGAATTCATATTCTGCAGCTTGCATTCCTTTATGTGGCCTTGCTTGATTTTGATGATTTCTAGCAGTTGTTTTCTACTACAGACTTGACAGCAGGACGGAAGCTATTCCCTTAGGAAGGATGGGAAAGTTGTTTGCACATCTACTGCTGTGTTGTTCTAGAAATATTTTCACCAGATACAACCAAATATATCAAATTGAAAACCAAACAAATCACTCCATAACAAACTCCATAAATCACTGCAGTAGGTGCCTTGATTTTAATTTCCTCAATCAGTTTTCAAATAGCAAAAGTGTTTGATTACTTACCTAAATTATCATCACATCTCACTATCAGGAAATATTCCTGGTCCATCTCCTTGGACAGAAATGCCAGATTTATTACCTCAAAGAGGTGGCTAAAAGGCTTCCTCCTCTTTAAGCCATATCCCCACTGCTTTCCATGATGGGAACCAACAGGGCAATCCCTTGCCACGTAATCAGTTCATTGATACACTGAACTCAGTATTTTTCTCTATTTCAGTTTCATACCTAACTACTAGATATTATTTTCAAAAAAAGACTAGTTCCAAGAAAGAAAGAAAATTGGGTTGTACACTGCAGAATGCATAAGCAACATTTTAAGGTATTCTTCTAAATATTCTTTTAAAGAGAAAACCTGCCCAACCCACTTCCTACCTTTAGGGTCCCACTACAGGAACTATTGAGTTCTTTTTTCCTACAATTAGCACTGAAGTTTTGGGGCCAAGAAATACTGCTACTCATTGAAAGTAAGTGAAACAGGCACCTAAGAAGTATTTACCCCTTTTCTTTCCCAGCTCTTTTGGGGAGTTTATTTCTTATTCTGTAAGAATTTGATAGATACGGAGAGGAAGAAAGCCACTCATACTTAGCTACATTGGACTAAAAGGCAACACATCCCACTCTCCTGCCCTCTACGTGACAACACTGATGGGTACCATTCACAGTGAAGGGTATCACTCCATCTGTCTAACTCACCTTGCTCCTTTGCAACCTCAGGTAAGTAAGTGGCTGTACGTTTGACGCCTTTTTCATTGATGAATTCAATTCGAATCCCATGGACCCCAACCTACAAAAACACACAACCAATAAATGCTGTTTACTTACTCTAATGGAACTTTAATTATCCTCATGTAAATTGACACTGTCCCCTGACCAGTTTGACCCAGGGCTGAGAAAAGGGGAGCCTCATGCTTTTCAAGGCTGACTCTCTCTCAGGCACAGAAGCCAAAGAAACTGCTGCTTCAGGGAAAGGGAGACTCTTAAGTGCAGCCACCTCTCTGAGACTATGGAGGCTACATAAAATCAATTATTTTAATAACGCATCCAATAATCATGAACATTCCACCTTTAATATTCAAGAACAGGCTGCAGGATTTGATCAGGGTTACTGACTTCACATGTGGCTCCTAATAACATTTATTCAAGGGCTTACCAAGAAGAATCAGGAATGTTCTCCTTTATCCCATTATTTATTAGACATGGGAAAAGGACACGGGAGAGAGTATACTGGTAAGAAAGGGATTTCTTTCTGCTTCTAATATCGAAGTATCTTTTCTGTCACCCAGGTTGCCTACAACTGCCTCTGACCTCAGCTCTCACATGCTTATACCCTTGCTCAATGAAGGAGATACATTACCATGTACTAACCCGAACCCAAATGCAACGAGAGATGCAGAGTTCCAAATGCGGCTGTTCTCACCTCCCAGTCCAGGTAATCACTGGCATCCTCAAAGTTAGTAAGGAGGGAGACAGAGCAGAAAAGTTTAGGCAGCTCCTCTCGGGTCAGGGGGGGAAATCGGCTGTCCTTAAGTGCACTGGAGGGGACAGAAAACATAAGTGAGGCTGCTCCGGAATTGGGAGCCAACATCATGAGCCTGAAAGTTTATGGCTCTTGAGCTCTGCAAAAAAACATTCACTACCCATCAACACGAACATGCTAAAAACAACCGATGCTACTAACTGTCTATACTTGAACTGCTAAGTGACTCACCAGATTAAAGCCCCCACAGCTCCTGACTATCAAAAAGAAACACTCAAGCTTTACCACTCAGAAGAAACAGGCAGTTATTTTCAAATTTTGCAAATAATCTACCCATCTCACGCGTGGTGTCATTACCTGGTTAGCGTGTATTCCCTGAGTCCTGAATGAAGATTCATGGCTGAGAAGGTCCCAATGCAGCCACGAAGCCGCTTGTCCCGCCCTGTCTTCCATGTCACAAAGAGTGGACTGAAAAAGCAAGCACGCAGCGATCAGAGAAGAAAGCCCTGGCTTTACCCCCGTCCGCCTGTTCTTCCCCAGCATGACTGCTTTCTGATGTGGGCTGTCTGGGGAGCTGTGTGGCCCCAAGGTGAAAATGGAGAGGAGGCACAGGGAGGCTCCTGCAGCCCCTGCTCTCAGCTCCGCACCACTCCACATAGGGGTGCTGTTTCCATCTTCCTCTGCTCAGGACTCTTTCTTCTAGTTCTCCACATCTTCCTCCTCCTGTTTACTCTCTTTCTCTGTGTCTATGTCTCCCAGTTCCATCCTTCTTGAAGACATACTAGCCTGCACACCTTCTCCCCTCAACCCCATACTGCACCCATCATTATTTCTGTCTCTTCTGTTTATAAATTCCAGGAAAAAAAAAAGTCTCCCCGAGAAAGCTTATTCTGCAGACTTCCTGGTGGTTAAGAATACGCCAGGCAATGCAGTGGGTTATGGGTTCAATCTCACATACAACAAGCCTGCCTGTCACAACTACTGAGCCAGAGCGCCACAACTAGACTCTGTTCGCCACAACAAAATATCCTGGATGATGCAATGAAGATCCCATGTGCCTCAACTAAGACCCAACACAGCCAAATAAATAAACAAATAAGTATTTTAAAAAAGAAGGCTTATTCTGGAATTTTCCTAGTGTTCCAGTGGCTAAGAATCTGCGTTCCAATGCAGTAAACATGAGTTTGATCACTAGTTGGGGAATTAAGATCCCACGTGCTAAGGGACAACTAAACCCCAAGTGTCCCAACTAGAAAGAATCCCACGGGCTGCAACTAAGATCCAATGCAGTCAAAAATAAATAATTCTTTTTTTAAAAAAAGCTTATTTTCAGCAGAAGTTACCACTTTCCAGGCCAAAGTCATGCTGCATTAGGCTACATCAGAGACACTAATAGATATTTAGACACAGGTTACGGGGCTGCCACCTCTTCCCAAAATTCTTCCATGTTCCTATGCCTTTACCTCTTAAGATTCTTAACACTGCTAAAACTTACATCTTTCAAGTTACCTTTGATCATTATTACAAGGCAAGGTCTCCCACCTACCCATCTTTTCCTTTCAGTAAAACAGCTGAACAGCACCAGCCAAAGTTAACGTTCCAAAACCTACTCAAAACCCTTCCAGGAATCCCACTGTGCCCACACCCTACAAAGCTGTGGTCACCACTTACTCTTCAAAGTCTGTGTCCCTCTCCTGCAAGGGACACACCCAATCCCACTCAGATCAAGGCTCAGACTCTCCATCTACTTAGGATTTTTCTATCCCCAGATGTCATATGGCAATGCTTCCCTAAAAAGCAAGCACATTTTCTCATTTCCTCTCCTCTGACACAATCACAGACGAACTTCCCCTCTACCTCTGCCCAGACAGTGTGAGACACACCCTATTTAGCTTTTGTGTGTGATCTGTCAACTCAAGTCTCCTGAGAGCAAGGACTGTTTCTTCATACCTGTCTATTCCCTGCCCAGTCCTCAGTACGGCACTAACAGTTCTTGGTCAGTGAATCCTCTAAAAGCACCTCCTAAAAAATAAAAGAGCAGCACTGCTCTCTAAATCCACATCGAAGCGGTTCCAATTCTGAGAAAGCAAGCCTTAGCATGTCTGTCTTCACTTGACTTCACCATTTAAATACACATATTCCTTATTTAAGTCACTAACACCTCATGGGAACTTGGGAGTCTTGAACTAAAAACATCAAAACAAATTCTGACATTCTTGGTGGGGTGCTGGCAGCCCCACGGGACTGATAGTAAGTGATGGGACTCTTGTTAAGAGCATCTCAGCTCCCAGTAAATGAGCTCATCTCCAGCCTGGCTGGAGTGAACACTGGTAGTGAACACTGGTAGTTCACTCGGATTTCAGCAATGCACAGGTCCACAATGGTGTGGTGGTGTGACTTCTCCACATGAGGGTTTGAATGACCTACCCCCTGTCATATGAAACCAAAAGACAATCAAAATCAAAACCCTCCTGATTTCCAGAATGTAACTTTAATGACAAGCCAACAACTCCTTTAAATGTAGCCTAGTATCCACTTTTGATATTCTAGATATTGTCTGGATACTTTTCTTCATTCTTTTCCCATTAACCTTTGCCCAAACCATGTTAAAGCTTTTTATAAGTAGAAGATTCTTGCAAGAAAGCGACCCCAGGAAGAGGCCTCTGTGCCGTTCCTGCGTCCTCGGCGCGTGACCGCATTACTCACTAGGGGTCGTTGGTGAACCTAGGGAGCCGCGGCTGCGGGAAGCCATAGAGGTGACAGTACAGGACGTCAAAGCAGTAGCAGCACATCTCTGCAGTCACCACCAGGTTCTTGGCGGTGTTGGCAGTTCCATTGGGCCGGGGAAGAGGGCTCAGCGCTCCCGATGCGGGATTCATTCGTGTGATGGGAGAGTTTCCAGGTCCCAGAGTTAAGTCCGACACATTCTCCCGACCACTGCTGCCATCCCCATGCTGGTGGTTTTGAAGAGGTCCTGAACTCGAGCCGGGGACAGTTGTAGACTGGTTCCCGTGACTGTGCGTTCCACTTCCAGATAACTTAGGCTTCTTGACCCCACAACAACCTGCTGCCAGCTTGGGCTCAAGTGGAGGAACACAACGTCTTTTTCCCATCCTGATTCAGTGCTTGAGGTCCGGAATGCTGCAGAACCCTAATCCAAAAGAGAACACCCAAGCATTAATGCAAATGGTTAGCTAGAAGAACACAAAAATCAGAGAAAGGGTCTACAGGGAAGGGGTAGGAGTCATCGAGTTCTTTCTCACACAGGTCACACTGGTCACAAAGGGCGTCAGACCAGTGGGCTGGAAAAGACTCTGCATTCCAGACCAGGGACACCTAACTGTTACCTGAGGGGAAACTATTTTTCATTTTCCATGAAGGTTATGGTCATCATGGATGGACGCAGGCCACAAACGGCTCCCTCGTGCCCAGGTCTCCTCGGGCAGAAAGACGGGCAGAGTGGCAGCCAGTCTGCAGGCAGACGGGGACATTTCAAGACCGACTGGAAGACCGCACTTGACCTGACAGGCTCTTCAGCAGGATGCTCTCTCTACATTTGTACAGGCTCCAACCTGAACCACTCTGTTTTTAAAGAACCCCAGAGGAACTTTCATATTTTTCCTCATCACCAACCTCAACTTACCTATGTGACTTTAGCTCCAGACCTCTGTGAGGATGAGAAGCAGCCACTCTTCTGACAAGAGCACACTAGCACAAGGCTCCTGCCGCCTTTCTGTGCTCACAGTGACCCTGCACAGTCTTACTTATCTTCTTCCTTCTCCTCTGAACATACTCCAATTTCTACACTTCTATACTTTCAAGACCCCATTCAAAAAAAAAGCTACAACCAAGCAGAAACCTTTATTCACACAAATGACCCAAGCTTCAGTCCTTTTGTGAGGTAGCCATTTCTGCCCTGTCACAGGAAGGCAGAGATGCAAAGGCATGAGTCTGACAAAATGTGGCATCAGATGGGAGTTCCAGCTGATAAAGGGGAGGAAGGAATCTTTTTCCATTAAATCCTTTTTCTTTTTTTGAACCGTTTCACAATCTCTACTTTTATTGCCTAATTAGATTTTATTTCCATCTGGACAGCTTATTTTTTATTGGTGCGTGACGGTATGATTTGTTTTTTGTTTTTCCTTCTGGACCCTGGATGAAAAGAAAACTCAGTTCTGGGAGGGACTGTCAGATAAGGGTACAGAATATGGTGAAATGGTGCTCGGTATCCTCAAAAAAATTAGCAAAATCAATCCTAGAAGATCCCTTATTTGCCCTCTTGCTAGTTAATAAATAGACTGCTGGGGAAAGGGAGGAATAGATTCAAAGGCAAAGAAGGGTCCAGATGGGATGAGGAAAGCAGGGACAGGTGTGTCTACCCCATTCATTCCTGCTCTCACTTACACCTGTCCTCTAAATAAAGCAGTAGTAGACTTTACAGGTACTGCTAAATCACTTCAGTCGTGTCCGACTCTGTGCAACCCCATCCCTGGGATTCTCCAGGCAAGAACACTGGAGTGGGTTGCCATTTCCTTCTCCTAAATCCTTTTTCTTAAGAAGCCCAAGGTAAAGATATATAGCTGTAGCATGACCCAGATCCTTTCTATTGTCTATGTCAACAATCGAGACTCAGGGAAATAGATCCTAGTTATTTCAATGTTGATAATACCAGAGTTTGTAAAATCCTGCTAATCTGAGAAAAATGTACTTTGTTTTTTCACAAATCACTACATGTTAGTTCTAGCCTCCTACTCAAAATATATAATTTTTATCTAAAATTTTCTCTGTAATTTGAACACGCAGCACACAATTGCCTTTTTAGGCACTACTCTATTGTATAGTTTTTTGGTTGTAGTGTCTACAATCTTTTAAATAAAATTAGATATGTACATACCCATTTCCAATGCTGTTATTTCTACAAACACAACTTGTCACTTTAGAGTGAATGAGATCCAAAAATTTCACAAATAGTGCTTTTGTTTCTGATAAATCCTGATCCCTAACAAAATACACATTTTTGTATTTAAGACAATTCTTTGGAAGAAAGTTGTCTCCAGCAGAGGAGTAACAGTTTACACACTTTGATGTCTAGCTTGCAACAGGCTTCTTTTTGAGAAAGCCTCCTGCATGTGATATAGTAAAACCTCCAGTGAATAGACTGTTTCTGAGTGTAGATATCACTGTCTTGTTCAGACTGTTAAGAGAGGGAGCAGGAGGTTCTGGTTAAAAATGTTGCCTCCCGAGTCAAATGGCCTGGGTTCAAATGTGATTCCTCCAGGATTAACCTCTCTATGCCTCAGTTTCCGCAAACTGGGAATAACAATAGTACTTGCCTCATGGGGCTGTTAGGAGAATTGAGTTTAATCTATGTGAAGTGCTTCTATACAGTTTCTGGCATAAAGTTAGCTACTCTTATCATCTGGGCTCTCATCTGCCTGCTCCCCCCAGAGGTGGAGGCTCTGGGAAGGCTAGGACTTTGCTGCACACTCAAGGCTTAGAGCACCAAACAGATGCTCTTTAAACAGGATTTCACTTAATCCTCAGAACCACCCAGCAAGGATGATATTAGCATCATTTTACAAAGGAGGAAACTTAGGTTTAGTAAGAAAGGTAATCTGCCACTAAGTGGCAGAGTCAGAATTTGGACCACGATCTATCTGTCAGACTACAAAGCTCGGGTCTTCCCACCATGCCACAAAGAACGGGGCCTGCCAGTCATATCCATTGGATTCAGTCCCTTTCCTAAGGGCGTGATTTAAAAAAAAAAAAATATCAAAGGTATACTAAAACTAAAAGAATAGCTTGCAAAATTTCGCCAACAAAAATGGAGCCGAGGGAAGCTGACTTCCCTGGTGGACCAGTGGTTAAGAATCCACCTTCCAATTCAGCGGATATGGGTTCAACCCGCGGCCGGGGGACTGATTCCCACATGCCACAGAGCAACTAAGCTTGTGCACTGCAACTACCGAGGCTGCAGGCTCTAGAGCCCATGCTCTGCACCAAGAGAAGCCCTCCCACACCACAACTAGAGAATCCCCTCGAGACGCAACAAAGACCTAGTGTGGCCAAAATAATTTTAAAGAAAGGAGGAGCAGGGGAAAGAAATCAAAACCTAAGCCCAAAGCTCTGCCACCACCCTGACAATGGCCAGTGCCCCTGCCATGGCCACCCGAGCCCGCAGAGGCTGTCACTGTCCTCTGAGCTCTTACTTGACCTTCCTCCTCGGGCATAACTGTGGGCAGAGGGTTTAGAGCCTGTGTTCAACGAGGCAGAGGGACCTTCTCTCCAGAGCGAGAGCTTTAACAGCCCCAAGAGGGCCCTGAGGCTCTGCCTCTAGAGTCCCAACATTCAAAGAAGCAGAGAGAAGGGATGAAATAACAGTAAGGCGAGAAAACAAATCCTTCCTCATTCTCCTTACACCGTAGGATGCTTGAAGGAAGAGAGAAATGTCATGAGACAGTGGTAACTCAGGTGTTCCTCCAAAGGTGCTATCAGCTCTCTGATGGGCGAAACACCCTGTAACAGAGCAGTGGGTTTTCAAACCATGCCAAGGCAGGTGAGGTCAAGCTTAGGAAGATTCTGCCTACACCAGTGGTCCCCAATCTTTCTGGCCCAGGGACTGGTTTCAGAGAAGCCAATTTTCCCACGGGGGTGAGTTGGGGATGGTTTCCGGACGATTCAAGCATGTTTACTGTGCACTTTATTTTTAATCTAATGCCACTGCTGATCTGACAGGAGGTACTGGTCCGAGGCCTGCAGCTGGAGACCCCTGGCCCACCCATGATGTACAACCACTGCTCTGGAGTGGGGCATACTGAGAGATTACATTTAGCAATCCCCCACACCATCCCCAACTGTGATTTGTAATCAACAGAGCCAACCCAAACCTCGTGGATCCTCAGGACCAAGTTTTCTCCAGAGGCCACTAAACAGACAATTCAATCAATATTCTCAATTAGTGAATAAAGGCAGAGTTACAGACTTTCTACATCAGAAGTATATTAGAAGGCATTTCTTTAAAATTTATTCCATAAAACTTAAATCTATAGAAAACTTCAAACAAAAATGAACCTAATACCCAGGTTTAATAATTTTCAACAAAGGGCCAAACTTATTTCATCCACAGCCTACTTACTCCATCTCCCTCACCCTACTGAATTATTTAAGGTTTGTTTTTTAAACGGGCCAAAACTTTACTTATCTGTCAGCGTAAAGCAAACATTAACTAAACGGTACAGACTGTGACGGTGCTGGTAGTGAGCACCTTTATTTACACGGCAACCACCACCTATCAATTCCATCAGGCTTCTCTCTAAGTAAGACTCTCCTAACCCAACTCCAACAAAGTGGGTATCTCACAGCTGTGTCCCAGACCTGGCTCCCAAGACCGCCTCACAACTACAAAGGACACACTTGATTCTCCCAACAGCTCTGTTTCTGAAGGCACAGTGTGAGATCCTCCAGAATAACAGTATTTCAATGCAACAGACTAACCTGCTGTGACCAACTAAAAATACCCCTAACGGCATACATATTCTACCTCTCCTAGAAAACTATGCCTTTGTTCTCATCCTTCCCCAAAACTTCATAAAAACTACCAGCAATGGTACCCTGATTATAGGAGTAACCGAATGGTTACTCAAGTTGGTTCATATGAAGTAATTGGAATCAGGTAAAAACCCTTGCTTTATAAACACATATACCACAAAGACCCTTCTGGAGCCTTCAGTAGGCTAACCTCAAGGCCATTTTAAGGGCCTATTATAGTGATGTCATTTTCCTACACTCCATCTACTTTAGAACAAACAAGAACAAGCTAGTTAAAACTGGATTTCTACCAGATGGAGACAATACCCATACTTGCACAAAGAGCTGGAGGAAATAACAGGAGTCACTGTTTTACCTCTTAAGGCCTCCTAACCTAGCAAGTATCCAGTGAAGTTGTTTTCAGTGTTGAACATCATCATGCCCTTTATCTGACATGCAATGCTCAAGGGATCCTGACCCTCACGAGGGTCCACAACAAAGGCACCTTTGCGGGCCTCTCTGAGAGGAAGGTGAGTGGCGTGCTGCAGACCTGGGCCAAGTGGCATACAAAGCCACCTGAACTCCAGCCAGCACTGAACTCACCAATACCTTAAGTCGCAGAAGCTGGGCTGCATTTCTGTTTGTTTTCCCACAACACCTAACCCAGCATCCTGCATATGGCACACACTCCAACAATCTTATTTACAGATCTCCCAGCAACTTCATTTAAGCTAGCCTTTTTAATAAAATGAATATATAGGTACAACCTGATCTTTACTCTGTTCCACTGTGAGGTGCTGACTGTTGCATGTGTCAGAAGCTGAAGGTAACTAAAATACAAGTATGTATTCTTATCAACAATGCCAATTCTACTTAGCCCAAACCAAGGAGTGGTTTAATTCATAGCAAAATGGATAGCTAATGTGGACCATTCATTCTAAAAATCAGGTCAAATACCCCCTACACGAACTTTGTGGTTTGATTTATGCTGGTAGCTGTTCTCTGCCAAATTACAGTAATTGGTCAGTCCTAGGCTTGGCCTCAGGTGCTGTTTAACAGTAGGTTGCTCAAGGCTTTCCTTCCAAACGACGTATCTAGTTTCTAAACTGCATGTGACAAGAATTTTCCTACTTTTTAAAAATGATGGAGCACTTTAAGAGCATTATTTGTCTGGAGGGCAATTTACAATTTCAGAAGTTAATGGAAATGATGTGTCATAAACTGCTGATATTTATAAAAAAGATGTGGAGACCAGTGCTAAGGGGAGGATGTAAGAACATCCTGACAGACACAGCTGGCTGGGCAGGAGGGTCTTCTTCCCTCACTGGGGGTCCCTTCCAAGGCTCCAAAGTCCACTGAAAACAAGCTGATGCCTTCCCAGAGCAGCTCCCATCCTCAGAGGACAGAGTCCAGGCTTTGGGGTCATCATCTAGGCGCAAGTCCCAAATCTGACTTAGCAGGTACAGGCTGTGCAAACTCAGGCAGGTTGTCTGTCTGTGGATCTAGGCTCCTGCTACCATAGAGGGTTTATTTGTGAGCATTCATTGAGTAAGACATGAAAAACATCTAGCAGATCTTTGGCACAGAACTACTATTTATTAAAGCGTCTGCTATTCTATTAATAGGGGGTTATTATTCTAATGACCATGATGCTTTTCCTCTTTGGAGACCCATACTTCTAATAAGTCATCCACTGATCTCTTCATTGTGAGATGCCAGGAAGTATAAGGAATACTGGGCTGACAGCTGTGCACAGTTCTATTCTACAAGAGTCCTCTTTTAAGTTTGAAGCCATATAACAAAAAGAAACTAAAACTGCTAAATACGCTACTATTACAGAAATCTTGATATATATTGAGTACCAACAGAACTACCGAGTCAAAATAGTTAGAGTTCCAATAACTAATAATAATTTTCTAGATAAAAATATCTAGAAAGGCTAGGAGGTAGAAAGAAAAGAGGTTCACCTTTGGAAGACAAGCTTCAAAACAGCTCTTCAGGGGCACGACCTTTTAACAACGACGACGACTAGACTCGGGAGGTAGGAAAAAGGGGGAACAAAAGGAGGGGGTCTCTGCATTTTCTTGTTATTATTAGTGTCCAGATGTCTATTCAAACCAAGTTTATACAGAAGGGAACAGACTGCTGTTTCCTTTGTGACACACAAGTGAACTGAAATTCAATTTAATAATTATTTGAGTAGTGAAATGGCATGTAAGCTATATTCTGGCCTACTTAGGGAACTATTCCAAGAAATAGTCAGATAAAAAGACCCACAAAACATTCTGGACATTGTTTCAAATAATCATCTCTATATTTCTGAAAGCCGATCATACACACATACACATCTGAAACATTTGCTGTGTAAAAATTTTCCCTGCAAAAAACAGATCTCCCTATACAATTGCTTTTTAAATTTACAGATTTAGAAAAACATACAATACTGTACACCTTCGTGTGAATTTAGCTTAGGAAAAACATGAATATAAGAAATCAAATGTTTTCTTTTTAGATCCTCTCCCTTAACTATGTAAGCTATGGCAGGATGCCAGATCTTTCTGGGCCTCAGTTCTTTCATTTGTAAAATGAAAATATCTGTCCCCTGCCTTCCTCATAGAGAGACGGTGAGGTTCCAATAAGACATGAAGCATTCTGAAAAACTTTTTTTTACAAGTGTTTGCATACCATCAACAGACTCGAGGGGACCCAGCAGTAATAAAAAATTTCCCAGAACTCTGTTTACATGTAGAATTTTAGTTAGTTTTAAGAAAACAGTATCACCCTAGCAGATTTAGGGCAGAATGTTCCAAAATTCTCTGAAAATTAAAACCATATGGAAGACATCTGATAACTGACCTTGACAGAAACTGTATTAACCTCTGAGTTATGATCTTTGTCTTTAAACGCAAACCTTTATGTAACCCAAGGGTAAGTGTAATGCTACAAAACCATCGAAGTCACTCTAATAGGATTATGGAAAATAAACTTGTTTTTTACCAATTAAAATTATTTTAAAAGCGAGCAAGTGGAAGTGGAAGGATTCATCAAGTTTAGAACACTCATTCAAGTAGAAAAACAGAAATGAACAAAGTAAACATATATTCTAGTCCAAGCACAGGGCTAAAACCAAATAAAAAATAAAAGCAACACAATTCCATTCTAAGTATGTCCAAGGTAATACTCACTGAAAGCAGAAAGTTTGTATTGTCAGGGGAACAGCTATAACAGAGGAGGGGAGCTATTTTGTCTCTGACATAAATTTTCTTCCTTCCGATTCCATTCCTTCTTCCTGTACCTAAGATGGAAACGCAGGTGCAGTGAGTGAACAACATCAAGGCGGTGCGGAGGTAAGAGATGGTTTTTGAAAGGACTACAACAGAGTAATTTCTAGGAAGAAAAAAAAAAAAAGCTAAGAAACAGGCTTTCCTTAATTCAAAATATTTCAAAATCTAAATATAAGGTGGCAAGGGCAGCCCCCTGTACTAAATCACCTCATTCCTGGCCTCAACACCAAGAAGGGAGGACAAGGAAGATTAAAGGTTTTATTGAAACTGAACATGAAACACACATTAAAACTTCCTCCACCACTAATTTAGATCAAAAGTTGCTCTCAGGCCAAGATACACCATCTCAAGGCTCTCTACTGGTTTCAGACTACAAACAAGATTTCCAAATCCTCTGCAAATGTGGTGCGGAAGGATTACTGGACCGCATGTCAGGGTCCCGAGGACAGGCCATCTTGTTATCCCAGTTGGAGATGGTAACTGTCCGTAACAGTCCGTCATCATTACTCTTCGGCTGGCATAAATCTCTTCATAATCTCTTCACCAACTCTCCCCACCCCCCAGTAGTAGATATCTGAGTTATTCCCAAAGATGTAAACAGGAGACTCCAGGCCCCACCCACTCTATCCAAGGAGAGGGCAGTGAAAGAGGATAGGCCCAGAGGGATAAGGGTGAGAGAGTGTGGCAAAGTGAGGAGTTCAGATCAGGACAGGGAACGGAGGAGGGCAAGTAACGAAGGGCAAAATCCACAGCCTGGGAAGGAGGGAGGAATAAAACCCACAGAGTATCAGGTGGAGAGATGGTGGAAATAGGAGCTTTGGGTGGATAAGGAAGGACAGAATCAAAGTGGGGTTAAAAAAAAAAAAAGATTAATGAAAGGCGAGAGCGTGCGTGTTAAAGAGTTTAGTAAGCAAAGGGCGAGATACAGGGGGGAGAGAAGAGACCGGAGCGGGGAGGGGTCAAGCGGGCAGAGAGAAAGGTAAAAGGTAAGAAAAAGGTGATGGAAGGAAAGCGCGGGGCGCTAGGAGGAGTCGGGAGACGACCCGACGACGGGTAGGGCAGCTAAGGCCAAGCCGCGGGGGTGGAATCCAGACGCCAAGCGGGGGAGGGGGCGACGGGACGGGGGGCGAGGGCCGCCAGGCGGCGCCGGAGACCACCAAACTTTATACGACCCGAGACTGTTTCCAGGAGGGAGTGTAGAAAGAGTGGGAGCCTCGCCTGGCCTCGCCCGGCCTCTCCTCGCGGCCCGGGGCAGGGGCGTCCGCCCACCCCCTCCCCAGCGCGTCCCCCGACCCTCCTGCCCCCGGTAGGCACACGCGGCCCGCAGGCCCAGCCTGCCGCCTCCCTACCCGGCCGCTCAGAAGCCCCTCCCCCACGCTGCCCCGGGACCCTCGCCCCGAACCCGGGGGACCCGCTCCCCAGCCCCTCCAGTCGCCGCGGAGTGAGGAGGCCCGGAGGGCACGGCGGCAGATCGAGAGAGGGCGGCCCGGCGGGGCGGGAAGAGGGCGCGGCGCGGACCGAGTTTCCCACCTTTTCTCCTGGCCCAGACGTAGCCGGGGCAGACGGGACCTCTCGCGCTCTGCCTCCTCCTCCTGCTTCATGGAGCCATGCGCCTGGGTGGGGGCTCCCGAGAGAAGCGGGCCGCGGGCGGGCCGGACGCGCGGCGCGGACGGGGCGGGGCCAAGAAGGCCGGCAGGGGGCGGGCGGAGGAGGAAGCGGCGGGGCGGCGGTGGCGGCAGGGAAGAACTGCTAGAGGTATTCCCCGGGCAGCTGGAGGACTGAACCGAGTCGGGACCCGAGTCTTCCGGTATCCCAGCAGCCACCGGAGGCAGTGAGGTAATGGAGGAAGAATGTAGGGAGTCCTCCAGTGGACCACACGCCCTCTAGCGAGGCGTCGAAACCATAGAGATTAGGGGGCCGGCGGAGGGCCGCCCCGCTACTGTCACGTGGCCTAGCTCTGCGTACTTTATTGGCTGGCGCCGACTCTACTGGGTTGAATTTAGGAGACTGCTTCCTATTCTTGTGGCGGAATCTGAGGCAGTTGGAAGAAAGAGGGGAGGACAGTGAGGCGCGAGAGGAGGTTTGCAGGCTGCTTCCCCCCAGGTCGTTGAGCGGGCCGAGGGGTGCGCTGGGCTGTCTGGCCGGCCGGCGCAGAGCACCCCGGGTCCCCTTGGCTTCTGCGAGCGAGTGCAGAGCGCGCCGGGATTTGTAGTGCGGCCGGCTGGGCGGCGTTGTCCGCCGCGACGAGGCCTGAGTGCCAGCTGGGTATGCCAGCCCGGGTGCCCGGGCCTCGCAGCTCCGCCCTCTCCCGCGTTAGAACCCAAGCGCCGTGGCGCGCGTCGCTTCCCACGACCGAGCCGCAGCCTTAGAAAGCAGCCAGAAAGGGGCAGCTCAGACCAGCCTTAAATGAAGCCGACCCCCTGGCTCTGGGCAGATCCGCGGGAGAGATGTTCCAGGCTCTGAGCCAGTCTCCTCATGGACGAGAAAGAGCAAACCAGACCCGGGTGGTGCCAACAGCCCATCTCTGTCTTGACCCTCTGCGTCCCAGTCTGGAGACCACGCAGGTGGAATTGCCCACAGTACAGGCTTAATTCAGTAGGTCGACTAAGCACATTCCTCAGTACTGGCAGGGCAGGGGCCTCAAAAAGAGCACTACAAAAACCAGCTTTTTAAAATTAGGAGTAAATAGTTGTAATTTCAAATATTTGCTATTTCATATGATGACTTAGCACTCATTTTAATTCCAGGTGGAGTTGCACTAAAAGTCTTATTCCTGCCTTGCTCCCTCACCTTAACCAAATAGTTTAGGCTCTGCAGCAAAAGCATGCTCTGTTTTAAAGCATTTCCAGTCTTGCCAAAAACACAGTCAAGCCCACAGTTTTGTTTATGCACAAAGGAATCCTAACGTGTTTGTCCTCAAGGAGCAAAGACAAGTATCTAGTAAAAAATGCAAATCATATCTTAACAGTGAAGCTTTCCAGCAAAAACCTTCTGCTCTGGAATGCATAATGTACTAAAGCATAATAAGATCTACTACTACAGACTTTTAGCTTAATTACCTGTACGCAGCAAAAACCGAGGAAACGGAGTGATTGGTGCCTCTCAGACCTGGAACTCTCAGAAAACCTGGCAAAGCGCAGCAGTGGGAAGAAGAGACGATGATGCCTTGCAGAACAGGAGGTCGATTTTTTTTTAAGCCATCTATAGCAGTCTTCATAATTCCTGTCGGTTTTGACGCGCTTATCTGTTGTTGAGGCCCACTTGGCCAGTTTCTAACCTCTTGTCAGACTGAAAAACTCCAAATTAAATAATCCCGTGGCCTAGAGCCAAAAGCAGGAGGCAGCAAGCCAGAGATCATTTGTTTGTTTCTGAAGAAGATCAGATATTGACTTTAAATAATTGCAATAAGTTTCACATAGTGAAAGTCTTTCCAGCTGAAAGTTTTAAAACATGGCATCTGGAAAAGGGCCTCAGTCTATTGCTCCCGGGGTGGTACTATGTTGTCACTGAACAATCCACAGATAAGGAAGTTATTGCTCCCTGGTTATGAAGCTGCCAGGAGGTAAATGATGGAACCAGGTTGCATTTGAAACACTCTCAAATTAAAAAACAACAACAAAAAAAAAACCTTGCCTTGAGCTGTGAAAAGGCATTTTACTGAGAAGTAGGACCCATATATTGTTGCTGTTGTTTACTGAGGCCAAAAGGCAAAGGGTTAGGACTTTTTAAAAAGTCACTTTGGGGTCACCTCACATCAGCAAGCAACAGTCTGAACTGGTGCAAAAAATAAACAGTGAAATTAGGATTAGGAATGAGGAAGAAACGAGAGCAATTTATGCCATAATATAGAAGGGCCTGTGTCTTACTGTCTCATTTCTTGCACATGATTCAGAAATCTGGTACATAGTAGGCATACAATAATTATTTGTAGCCTGAATGATTAAGTGAAGAAGAAAGCCAGAAAGCAGTGGGAAAGTAATTTATTAGTAGTTGGGAAAGGGGAACTACAGAAGAGCCAAGTGCCTCAAGCACTATGCCTGGTCCTGAAATGTCACCCTAATCTGTACCACTCTATCAAAATACCCTCAGATCAAATCGTCTGTCTCCCTATCTTTCCATTATTCTGACCTTGAATGGTTAAGAATAAATGGTAATGTAAGAGATTAGATCTTAATTGTTTCCACCACAAAAAAAGAAATGATCATTAGGTCACATGATAGAGATATTAGGTAACTCTCCTGGTGGTCATCATAGTACAGTATAAATGTGTCAAACCAACACATTGTGTACCTTAAACTTTTGTTAATACAATGTTATATGTCAATTATATCTCAATATTTTAAAAAGTATGTTATAGGTCAATTATATCTCAATTTCTAAAATAATGATTAAGAGAGAATGGAGGTACTTCCCTGGTAGTACAGTGGATAAGAGCCCGCCTACCAGTGCAGGGGACATGGGATCGATCCCTGGTCTGGAGGGAGGATCCCACATGCCCCAGAGCAACTAAAGCCCACGCACAGCTACTCTAGAGCCTAGGGGCCGCAACTACTGAAGCCCACATGCCCTAGAGTCTGGGCTCTGCAACAGGAGAAGCTATTGCAGAGAAGCCTGTGCACCGCAACAAAGAGTAGCGGTGCAAGTAGAGAAAGCCTTCACATAGCAATGAAGACATGAACAGCCAAAAAAAATTTAAAAACTAAATAAAAAATTTAAAATAATAATTTGAAAAAGAGAGAATGGAATCAGACTTCATGGTTTCAAATTCTAGTCCTGCTATGAAGACCTGTGACCTAGGGCAAGTTAGACTGTTAGTGATTTCATTTTACCATCTATAAAATGGAGATTGGAGCAGTCCCTATGAATTTAAATGTTTGTACTTATAAAAGCTGCTGTCCTTGTTAGCATAGTGGTGTGTATCCCCGCCTGTCATACAGGAGACCAGGGTTCAATTCCCCGACGGGGAGGCAACACACCCTTTAGCTTCCCTTGTAGCTGTTGGTAGAGAATCTGCCTGCAATGCAGGAGACCTGGGTTCGATCCCTGGGTTGGGAAGATCCCCTGGAGAAGTAAATGGCAACCCACTCCAGTATTCTTGCCTGGAGAATCCCGTGAACAGAGGAGCCTGGTGGGCTACAGTCCATGGGGTCACAAAGAGTTGGACATGACTGAAGTGATTTCGCTTACATATACTGTTCCGTGTACATTTGCTCTGTTCTTCCAGCCATTTGTGATGTTCTTTGGTGTGCATTTAGCATGTTTAACTTTTAAAAAATTTATTCATTTCTTTACTTTTTGGCTTAGTTCCCCGACCAGGAGTCAAACCCGTGTGCCCCCTGCAGTGGAAGCGTAGAGTCCCAACCTATAGACCACCAGGAAAATCCCACCACATTTGACTTTTAATCCATCATTGGTGAACTTCAAAACAGAGATTAGCTTCCTGCTGCAACAAACAACACTGCAGTGAATATCCTTGTACATGTTTCCTTCCGGAGACATGTGAGAAATTTGGGAGGAAATATACCCAGGAATGAAATTGCTAGGACATAGGATCTGCATACAATTAATTTGACTAAATAGTGCCAGATTGCTCCTGAGAACAGGAACTTTTGTTTAATATCCCACTAGCAATACACACGTACACACACACACACAGGCACGTACATGCACATGCATGCATATCAAAACATGTACAGGGACTTGTACATATACACAAATACACATTGTTACCATAATTTACTTAAATCAGCTTCTAATTTTTTGCCTTTTTAAATTAAAACCACTAGTAGTGTGGTTTTAATTTGCATTTCTTTGATTATTGCACATTTTTTTCTTATTTGTTTTGGANATTCATTGGAAAAGACTCTGATTCTGGGAAGGATTGAACACAAAAGGAGAAGAGGGCAGTAGAGGATGAGATGGTTAGATAGCATCACCGACTCACTGGACATGAATTTGAGCAAACTCTGGGAGATAGTGAAGGACAGGGAAGCCTGGCATGCTTATGTCCATGGGGTCCCAAAGAGTCAGAAACAACTTAGCAACTGAACAACAACAGTTACAGATTTCATTTGTCCCACTTTCCAGACTGACATGAGTCTGGTCTTGGTAGTAGATACAGAATCTGCATCTGTGCTCTGGCCGCCATAAACATGTCTGTGTATCTTTCGTATGCTCATGTGTATCCTTGAAAGGGTGAGTTCATTTGGGTACTTAAGAGCAATGTTGAGGGGACTTTCCTGGTGGTCCAGTGGTGAGGACTCTGTGCTTTCATTGCAGGGGGTGCGAGTTCCATCCCTGGTCGGGTAACTGGAATCCTGCATGCTGCAGCTTGGCAAAAAAAAATTTTTTTTTTAATTTTTAATAAATAAATAAGAAAACTAGAGAGACGTGACCACTAAATGTAACCTGATTCCAGACTGAATCCTGGAGCAGGAAAAAAGTTAAAAAAACAAAAGAGAGTTTCCTTGGTGGTCCAGTGGTAAAGAATCCACCTTGCAATTCAGGGGCACATGTTCAATTCCTGGCCTGGGAAGAGCCCACGTGGCACAGGGCAGCTAAGCCTGTGTGCCATGACTGCTGAGCCTGCATGCTGGAGCCCTTGAACCACAACTGCTGAAACCTGTGTACCCCAGAACCTGAACTCCACAGCAAGAGAAGCCCCCACCATGAGAAGCCTGCACACCCCAACTGGAGGGTAACCCCTGCTTGCTGCAACTGGAGAAAGCCCATGCACAGCAATGGAAATCCAGCACAACCAAAGATAAAAATTAACTAATTAATTTTTTAAAAGATGAATACTTACCTGATTAAAATTAATCTTTATATATACAAGTGTGTACGTGAGTTGAATATTTTCAGATATATGAGGTAGTATAAATAAACTAAGCCCCACAGCATTTCCTTTGCATTAGAGTTAAACCA